ATTCTGCTCTGTCTGTCACTATAGTCATCCACCTAGAGCCCACGCGCTTCTTGATATCATCTGTCCATCTCATTTGGGGCCTTCCTCTGCTTCGTTTGTATTCCCACGGTCTCCAGCTTATAAGAATTTTGTTCCATCGGTCTCCTTTTTGTCTTATATTGTGTCCGGCAAATCTCCATTTTAATTTTGTAACTTCTTGTCTAAAATATATATTAATACTATAGAAAATATCAATATTAAAGTTTATCTAATCTTGGTATCGCCACGTACTGGAATCGAAGGTAACGAGGTTGTAGACAAAATAGCAAAAAATGCACCTACTAACCCAAACGGCAAAGAGAATACTAAATCTCTACACAACGACCTAAAAGCATATTTTAGGAAAAATATTACTACAATATGGCAGGATACATGGAAGAACTCTTTAACTAAACTATACGAAGTTAATATTAATCATTATAAAATTCCAAAATTAATAAATTGAAAAGAACAAGTAGCCTTCACTCGCCTCCGGATTGATCTTACGCAGTTCACACATGACTACCTACTAAAACCTTCTTATAAACCTGTGCGTGACATGTGTAACCGTGTCTTAAGGTAAAACATTGTTTATTGCAGTGTCCCAAGTACAAACTGTAACGCAAAATGTATATGATGCCATCAACATTAAGTAGTGTATTGAAAAATATAGTGACACAAAAAATATTTTCATCTTCCTCAAACACTCCAACCTTTTATCAAAAATCTAGTATTATACTTTGCATAGATTTAGGGTTTCTCTGTTTATCTATTGTTACTGTTAATACTCTATTGTTAAGTTTTAATGTTGTAACATAATCCATAAACGCTAATAACCATACGTGGTTTAGACGTCTTGTAAGGAAAAAAAGAGTCCTCTCAATCTCATAGTAATTTTCGGTAATCTAAAAACTCGTTTTGTTTAGGTGAATAAGAAACTTTTTGCGAGTAATTTGGAGAAATTCCTTGATTTTCCTAATACTATTAGATGCTCTTCTTGTTTTAGTACCTCCTTCTATTTATGATGATAGAAATCTTACTGGCTAAAATAGCTCTAACTTGTTAAACTGCCTGTTCGGGCTGTTAGTCCGTTGTCTTCTGAGATTAGTTTTCGACATTTCGCCAACACTAGAGGTTGGCATCTTCTGGAGATGTCACTGCTTCGCTTGTAAGCTGAAACTGACGCCGCGTTGTACTATAGAGGCCATATTTATATTTTCTACTCACCTCCTCACCACTAGTTTCGGCGTTTGGGGGGTGCCGTCATTTGTAGTAGCTTTTATTTCTTCGTGTTTTGCGGGAAGGGTGTTCGTGGATTTTAGTATTGGTATCCATGTTACTCCTATCGATTTCCGAAGGAAAGAAGAAGTGTCAAACACTAGTTGGTTAAAAATGTCACTTATTTGTGGTTACAACCAATAATTGTGACTTAATCTCATATAAACATAATATTTCCATTTCTTTGATAATATATCATCATTTAGCAAGCTTTAAAGATTCTTGTTATGTATCTATATAAATTTTGTGTTATGTGATTAATTAATCTGCAGGCATTTTACTTAAATCTGGAGATTTTTAATTTTTTTTTTTAATAACTTGAAGGTATTTACACTTTATTATTAAGTTTATTATTCTAAAAGTTGATGTTTCTATACGTATTTTATTGTGACTTGTCTCACTATTGTTTAATAGCTTTAACAACTACAAAATTCAGTTCCAAAATGGGTTCCAGACATAAAAAAATAAGTAAAATTTATATTTTGCATTATTTGTTTTATCAATTATCAATATCATCTACTAATCTATTAAGTTTAAGTAATAAAAACGAAAATTATTAATAAATTATTATTTATAAAATATTATTATAGTTACTATTTATAAAATAGCTAGCTCAGTCGGTAACGCATTAGACTCTTAATTTCAGTGTCGTGGGTTCATGCCCCACGTTGTGCGCCAATGTGTAACGATAAGACTACCAAAGAGAATTAAAATACTATTATACAAATAATACCTCAATTAATCATGGGAGCTTCGCCTAGCTCAGTCTCTCAAGTGTGAATTCGTCTTCTCTTAAACTATGAATTAAACCGTAAACTCTTAGCTGATACCAGACAAAACAATTATTTAACTAATTATATTTATTAAAAATAAGAAATAATCAAATCTGCTAATGCTTTACAATAAATAAATTTGGACGATACTTATGGCATCGCTGAGTGATTGTGTGGCCTTCCAATTAGATGGTTAAGTCCTCCTGACAGCCGCAGTTTTTCCATATTATACTTGTGTGGCCTCCCATAAAGCAAATAAAATCTTCTATACAGCCAATAAACCAATAAACCCAAGAGAATTCTGCAGACCATAAAATGAAGCTTATAATAATTCGTACCTTCTGTTATAAATTTCGATTACTGACAAAAAATAATCCCACTATGTTTAGAAAAGTTGATTGACAGATAGTAGGGTCTAAAATAAAGTTTGCACATATGAAATAGGACGTATGCCTATGATGGAATTAGCTCTTCTGTCAACATAGAACAGAACATTTAGTCTACCAGACAGAAATAGAGTCAATATTTATTCTACGGAACAGAAAGAGAAAAAAAGATAGAGGGCGCCAACTACTTTTTGAAGAAAAAGTAGTAAAAAAGAAACTAAAGGTAAAGGAATTGATAAATTAATAAAGAAATAAAAATAAAGTAACTATTGGAATATAAATTAATAAAGATGTGACGTTTATAACGTTACAATAGATTCGATTTTAGTAAAGATTTTCTAGTTCTATCTCTTTTTTATCTATTTTAGTTCTATCTTCTAACTAAATAAAAGATTCAGAAACGTCTTTACCATTTCTAATGAATGGCGAGATGCTCCTATTAAATATCACTATTCATTAGCAAAATTCTTAGATCAATGGCGCTTAATCGATTACCGCTAAATAATGCCTAAAAGGAATTAGGGGAATCAAGTAAGAGTAATTTTCGCCGCCGATTTTCCGTTGACTAAAATTAGAACGTCGCCGTTCGTCAATAACATGGGTTCGTTAAACTGAAAAGTTCAAATATTAATATAGGCCAAAACTACTCCTTCAACTTTTACAGTAGTTACCGAGGTTAACGACTCAAAAATCTGTTTTCATGAATACAATGAAAAAATTAAATATTTTTACGATGTATAATGTATAATGGGTAATAATTTCTTTTAAAAATGATGTAAAATGAAAAATATGAATTTTAAGAAATTTATATACTGTTTATAGTATTTGGCATGTGTTTTCTATAAGTTATACTTTGTCTTTGGTAAAGTCAAAATCATATATGAAGACCGATATTATGTAACAAAGAGACGATCAGTGGGCCTCAAATAGTTGCTTTAAAATTTATATCCAATCACTTAAAAAGTAAATGATTTAACAGTTAAAACTGTCTCGAGATACGAGTTCTAGCAATTTACAGTGAATCCAACCTTAAGAGTCCACTGCTGAACATAGGCCTCTTCCTCATGTTTCCAACCCCGTCTATCTTGCGCCGCTCTTATCCAGTTTTTATTGAGTCTTCTTAAATCGTCAGTCCTAAAGAGAAAGGTATTTGATCAGTGATCAGTGGGAGTGCGTCCTCCCAGTCTTGACGTACGGAGCAGAAACACTTACCTTAACAAAAGCAGCAGCTACCAAACTGAGAGTCACGCAGAGAAGAATGGAGCGATCCATGTTAGGCATAACTCTGCGAGACAGAATAACCAACGAAGACATCAGGAGAAGAGCCGGAGTGACTGACATCATCGAGAAGATAGCCAGACTAAAATGGAGATGGGCAGGACACATAGCCAGAATTACAGATGGGCGATGCTAATCATGTTTGTTTTGAAGTCTGCTAATTTTTAGCAGGCTTCAAAACAAACATGACTTCTCCATATTTCATAAACCTACACATACTGACACGACTATATACAATTCATCATCCCATCCAACACAACATAAACTGGCAGCTTATCATAGTATGTTTCATAGATTAACAGAAATTCCGATGTCAAAATACAACTTTGATGTTAAATCAAAAACTACACAAGAAAGCCCTGAAATTAGTATTTCCACCACCAGAGAAAAAACCCAGTACCTTCTGCTCGATTACACATACAGGCAAAATAATAACAAAAATTGCCAAACACATAAAAAAGAAAGGAATAACACCAGCTTGCCGAACAAATAACAACCTAGGCAAATATATTAAAAATAACAAGAGCCAAAATAAAAAACACTTAAATAGTGGTGTGTACAAACGTCAATGTGGCGACTGCCCAAAAACTTACATCCGTCAAACTGGTAGAAACTTTGATAAACGAATAGCAGAACATAAAAGGGCTTTCAAGAATAGAAAAACAGATTCGACATACGCACTTCACCTTCTAGATCATAATCATTCTTTTAATGACAAATTTAAATTTCTTCACATTCAAAATAAAGCTATCTTTGTTAGAATCTATGGAAATCAACAAATTAAAAAACACAGATATAATTCTGAATGACCTACTTGAGACAAAGTCGAATACATGAATTTCCATCAAGTAACGGTCGAATCCATAAATGAATTTTAATTATTATTGATTGCAGATTCATAGTCAAAATTTTCTTGTCATCAGTTATCAATGTTAGTACTTAGTACTAAATATACTTAATATTTTTATAGATACATAAATTATGTTTTGATATATTTTTATTTTGTTTTTTTATTCTTGTATTATCTTCTTTTGTGCTTGTCTTGTTTTCTTTTTTGTTATTCCTTTTTTTTTGTTTTCTTTTTGTTTTTTGTTCTATTCCTATTTTTTTAATTCTTTTATGTTTTTTTTATGAATTTGTGGTATACTATTTTTTATTTAATACTGTTAAATGTACTGTAATTTTTTGTTTAAGAAAAAATACCAAAACGTATATTATATAAAAATAAATATTTATCTTGTGTGTATATATATTTTTTTTATTTTAGGGCAATGATTAGTGGAATACTCCTAGTGTTATTTGTGATGTGTTACTGTTGCAATAAAACAAACAGAAAAGCACAACCCCATCTGGGGAATTATTGGAGAGATCCAGGTTTGTCTATGGAGATATACACAGTGGAATCGGCGCAAAATGTAAGTTAATCTTCTTATTATAAAGCTCGTTAAAGTGCTTTTTAAGTAACGCAATACATATTGTTTAAAAATAAACCAACCAATATAAATATATATTATTATATATTTTATTGTTAATATTTTATAGTTTATATGTTATTATTTATATTTTATATAGTCTACGGAGCAGTCCATATTGTTCATTGTTTTACATATGGACTAAAGTGCTTTCGTTTAATTCTGGTTGTTTTTTTTAAGTTTTTTTCAACATTGTATTTTCTATTGACTGTAATTTAATGCGTTTTTAATTCATCGGTCTTGTTATCTCTATCTACAAACGTTAACTTGCCTTAAATGTTCTTTTTCGCCAGGTTCCGGTTATCAGAAGTTCAAAATCATCATCGTTTTCTTAGACTTATTAGCAGTATTTCTAATGAGTTGCTACCAAACCACGCTTTTAGATTTCCAAGCAAGTACATTCAGGTCTACCGGGTGTCTTCTTTTTTTTTTGTCATTGCATAAGTAATCTAAATACTGCATATTTCTAGTCTACTCCTTTATTTGCCAAATGGTAAAATTCTCTAAATTTAATAGTTTTTATGACTACTTAGTTTCTGTGTATAATATGTGCCTCCAAAATCTAGTCTATAACTTTATTCCCCAAATGTTAACTTTCTAAATTTAATAGTTTTTATATCCACTTAGTTTCTATGTAAAATATGTGCCCCAAGTATACAAAATTAAAAAAATGTAAGTATAAAAAATGTGTTTTAAAATTTGTGTACCAGATCGACCTACATTTTTTTTAACACCTGTGCGGTGTTTGTATACTGCTTTCTGGTCACAAATGACCAATTATCAGTTACTTTCTTACCTAACTTAATAAACAGTAAATACTTAAATCCAAGGGCTTACCCTATGGCTTACTTTTATTTTATCTATCAACTAATGTACTATAACTAACATGCAATAACGTCACAGCACTATACTCTGCTTTTTACACTAAACTGTTACACATTTACACTAACTCAAATGGTTTTGTCCTTATGAGTCTTCTCTTTAGTTCAGTGTTGTCAAGAAGCTGGATTGCCTCGACATTAACATGACTATGCAGCCTCTGTTCGTAACTTGCTGCTGTTCTCTTGATTATTTCGATCACAGTTTCCATACCAAGGAGCAGCAACAATGTTTTCCAGTACTTTGTTTTGAAATCTCTGGATAATATGTAGATTACTAGCTTTGGTACAGCCCCAGAGTTGGCACATATATACCCATACTGGCCTCAGTACTTGCTTATAGATGGATAGATAAATGATTACCCTACATCAAGAGCTTTTTTGAGGAAGCTTCTTCGAAAGTGGTTCTTGGTTTTAACAAGATTGTGCTCCGGCACACCATTATGGTACACACCATTACGAGGTACGATAGAATGGCCAGCAAAGTCATCGGATCTCACACCATTAGATTTTTTTCTGTGCGGATACTTGAAATCTAAAGTTTACATTACAGCATCCGACAATATTAACATTTTGAAACAACGAATGGTTGAAGAATGCAGGGCAATTTACCCCGACACGTTTAAACAAGTACGGCAAAAGTTTAGAAATAAGATACAGTACTGTCAGGAAGTAGATGGAGCATATTTTATAAAAACTTACTTCCATTTAAAATTATCTGTCACAGTGACGCTGTAACCTAATCTGTCACTATTAGGTACATCACCTGGTATTGCTAGTTGACTTCAATATGAACAACATTCAAGAGCTTTGAAGATAACCCTTTCACCACGTGTCCGAATTTTAAAAATAAAGGGAGGCAAGATAAATAATAAATAACTTTTTTCCATTCTCGTACAATAATTATACCTAATGAAATAACGTACAACAGGTAAATGGGCACATTTATTAATAAAATATTATAAAAATTATTGACCCCACACGGCAAACAAAACCAGTTTTAATGACATCCTACCGTCATAAAATGCCTATAATGATATTTACCCATAATTGGTAGTAATAAACAAAAGCAGAATAAATACAGGGCCGACAGATAAATCGATTTGTAAATTAGGTAATCAGAGTGACTCGACCTTTTTGGAAAGTTTAAGGTCAAATGGAAACAATATGAATTTTGGATAGGTCTGTGCGTAGGTAAATAATGTCGTCAAAAAGTGAAACCCAAAGATCTAGATGATTTATTGAATTAATAACGCTGGAATAAAAAGGACAAGAATGTCTATTTAGAGCAAGATATATAATACGATTATATCACTTTGTACGTATTAAAAAATGGAACAGACTGGATATTTTTAAAAAGATTCGATTATGAACTGACAATCATCGATAATTAAATGGCAAAGTTCTTTACGAAATATATAAGATACTTAACGCTTCTATTTACAGATTGATGGTAAAGGTGTTGGGGAACATTAGATATTATTACAAGATGAATGATCTACGTATATTCTTAAAATAATGTTGTTAATTGGTGTTCCATTGACATTTACTACAACAGTTTCTGACTCCAGAGTCCTTCTTAAAATTTTTCAGAGTACATATTGAAAAAAATCGGTGACAGCACTGTCTCATCCCTCTTTTAATTTCAATTTCCTCTGATGTGTTTTGATTAATCCATACAATGGCTAGTTGCTTATTATATAGATTTTATATGGTCTAAAGGTCATTGTAGTATATTTGTATTGCTTTATAGGCTTTTATAAACTGTTTGTGAAGGACTTTATCAAACGCCTCATTATAATCTATGAAACAGAATAAAAATAGTTTAAAAAGTTACCACAAGTTAACCATAATCTTTCTCAATGTACACGTGCAACCCAAAATAGGGACAGATGGTAACACGGCTTAAAAAGAGCAATGCGATCTCAAGACGAACGTCAATATAGTGTAAAAAATACCTGATAAGATATGGAGATGGTAAGGATAACAATAAAAAACAAAATATTTTTGACAAACTGTATAATAAAATTTGAACAAAGCTTAAACATTATGAAAGTCCAGCTACTACACGAAGCATTCATTATTTCGAACAAAGTATTTTGTATTATCCACTTATACCCTAGTTCTTATATTAAAATGCACAAAGTGTAAATAATTTGAGATTTAATTAAAATTTTTATTTAGTCCCTACAAAGAATCAATCAAGCAGAAGTTTTTAATTGGAAGTACAAGCTATCAGTAACCTTAAAATTCAGCGACTTCTGGATGATTAAAGGGGAAGTGTGACTGTGACAAATTAAATTTTCTAGATACATTTGACTTTTAAATAAAACGGTAGAACAGTATAATTTGTAAAATATTTACAAAACTAACAAATATTTACTTCTTTAAAAAGAGGAATTATCAAACGTTAACATGTAGTTAACATGTACTGTACCATACTCCGTGAACCGAACTACTAGAAAGTAGGCTCAGGACACGGATAAACTTTGATAAATATGAAGGCACCTTTGCTTAGTCATTGTAGATGATGGGCGGGGTCATTTAAGAAAATGACTTTAACAAACGAACACGCGAAATATGTAAACAAAACAAAAAAGAAAAGGAAAAGAACAATTGTTTGCAAAAAAAATGGGCGCCACACTTTTTAAATATTTGATTCCCAAAAACAGAATTAGCATGCTCATAATACTAACAGAAATTTTACTTAATTAAAAGGCATATATCGAGCACAATTTTATATTAATTTTTGCTCAAGTACTTTAACTCTCAGAGCATCTTCAGGAGTATCTGAACTAAGTCAAGAAACATTTTTTTAAGTAAAGGAAAATTAGTTACATAGTTTAGACTTACTTCGTCAGAAATTTTATGTAGCTAATGGCTATCCAGCACGTCAATGGGTGTTATATACATTAAATACAGTTACACAAAAACTACACTATACAAAGTACAGTTTAAAATTATATCAAAGCTACATTGTGGACAACAACAGGAGACAGAAAGGCTCCTGATCTTAACGAAAATGTTAAATGGACATATGACAATTTAGACGATCAGTCACAAATCTGCCCATTTGAAAATTCTATGGTTAACTGGGTCAAGGCATTTGATCATTATCAGCACCAGAAGATGTTCGCCGCCCTACAAAGAGTAGGATTGGATGAAAAGGACATTCGGATTATCACAAATTTATACTGGAACCAGCGTACTCAAGTCAAGGTCGAAGACCAGCTGACCGATCAAGTGAAGATCATGCTAGGAGTTAGGCAAGGCTGTGCTCTCGCCGACTCTTTTCAATATATATTCTTAGGAAATTTTTACTGAAGCCGTCACAAACCTAGAGATGGGAATCCGAGTGAACGGTGAATACATCCATAATATCCGCTACGCCGTCTTACTAGCAACAAGCCTAAATGAACTAAAAGCCTTACTAGACCGAGTGAGAACTGTAAGCGTAACATACGGACTAGACCTTAATATTAACAAAACTAAATTTATGGTTGTCAGCCGTGCAAATTTAGATCTCAGGGCACTAATGGTAGGTAGCGAAGAGGTCCAGAGGATCGAGAAATTCACTTACCACGGAACTCCTTTCAACTCACAATGGGACTACGCTCAAGAGATTAGATCCAGAATTGAAATGGCACGGACTACATTTATCAAGTTGAAATATATCGTATGTGGACCATGTCACCAATGTTGACGTGCTACAGTGCATGAGAAATGAAAAATAAGTACTTAATTTAGTGAAATAATGTAAACTTCTGTACCTCGCACACGTGAAGCGAAGCGAAGAAAAACATCGAATTCTTGAACTCTTTATGCAGGTATGCAGGTAAAGTATTTGGCAGGACTTTGCTTTGAGATGCAGCACTTGCCACATCTCAAAGCAAAAGGTGATTGAATCCGTTGGCACTGCTCTAGTTAACTTATAAAGAGCCTTGCCTCTTCAATATTGTTCCCAATTCAATAATATTGTTTTTTATCCTTAGTGTTTCATGAGAAAACTTATGTCCTATTTTTCGTTCTTTTAGTGTAACAGTATTGTGTTTCTTTTTATAAACT